ATATTGAAAATGTTAAGATTCGTTGCTGCAATTTTTCCTATAAAAAAATTGGATTTAATTTGTAAAAAAAATAAAAATTTTGAGTACTGAAATTGTAATAATCCCTTTTTAATTTTGGCATTTTTTAAAATTATTTTTAACATAAAATTTGACAGATGTGATGACGAGGGGGTTTTTTGCACAAAAAAGTTTCAAAAATTGGGGTTTTCTACGATTTCCAATAGATGGAAGGTGTATTGCAAATAGAAACATTTTTAGAGAGTTTTCTGCTATTAATTCTTCCTTAAAATTAAGTTAAGGTCATACGTCTTCGAACAATAATTTTTATTATTAAAATTCATAATAGATTCATGTTGAAAAACATATGCATGCTCTATCACACTATTAGAATGTGTGGAATTTTCGACGGATTTTCCAACTAATGATTCCATCGATAACTACAAAAAAATTAAAAAATTCTAACGAAAAAAATTTGTTGGTAAACATTTTATTCGGCTGGTAATATATTAATGTTATTTAAAAAAATCCATAAAATTCTTGAAATATGCTTCTATGGCATACAAGATTTGTGAGAAAAGGAAAAATAGCGAAAATGATACATAAGTTGTGGAAAGTGTAGAATGTCTTGCATACAAAAAAATTTCTGTTGAAAACGAATTTTCATATTGTATAAGTAATATAAATTTCGTTTTTATTTTCTAAAAATTCAAAAATTGGAGTAAATAGTAGAGATTGGGGGGAAAAATGTATGAATTGTTGGTAAATAATCTTTTCTCAGAAATGTTTATTTTTTATTTTTTAAATCTTGACTTGGCATAAAAATGAAGAAAATTAGGTCGATCCAGTCCGATTGGTATTTCAAAAATAACTTCTAGAGTGTAAACTATCGTGTAAATTTTCTCATTTCACCTTTTTTGGTCTCAATAAAAAAAAATGTATTGATTAATTTGAATGCATATTAATTGATTTGTATAAATTTATGAAAATAAATCAAATTATTTTTCTTAAAGTTTTGTATGGTTCCAGGTACTAAACCAATAACCAAAATATTCTAGGATGTGGAAACGAAAATCCGATATGAATCCAACTCCTTATTTATTTTTCAAATATCGAGGTTGGTGCAACACCTGTAGTTCACTGTCACAGACGATGGATACAATCGAGAAATGGCCAATCAAATAAGCTCTTACCATTCTTCATAATCCAATTATTCGTAATCCTATCCCCATAATCCTATCTCCCTAATCCAATACAACATGCCAAACTTGTCCTATATGTTCGATTTCATCAACAAACATTCGAATGAAAGTTATGCAAAACTATCACTTCTTCCATCTTCAAACTCTACTCTCTATGGATGTTAACCCAAAATTTGGACAATCGATGGACTTGAAACCAATTTGCTAGATTGAACTCTCAGCCAGAGTGGAGCATTTAGAAGAAGGTTAAACAAATACCTTTAAATATCTATGAAATATATCGAGAATCCAAATTGGAAAAACTCTCGTATGCATTCTAATGACATTGAAAGTGTTCAAACTAATTGGTCTATTATGGTTTGATAAAGTAGCTCCATCCAAGACCTTCTAATCGAAATATAATTTACACTAAGTTGTGCAACCAAAGTAAAAATTATCTATTTTTTAACCTCATTTTGAGCCTTTCAAAGTGTAGGTTGCCAAAGATTGTGAATTGAATTGGCCCAACCCATGTAGTTTAGATCTTAGGACGAGTTCACAACTTCACGAGCCCAATTGTTCACTAAAAATATCATCCCTAGATTAAAACTTAAAACTTTTACATCAATTCAATTCAACATTTTAAATAAAAATCTTAAAGTGTTCAATTGACCATCCTTGACACCAAATATGTCCACTTTATATACATAATTCGATGTAGAGAGAGGTTTTTGCAGCTAGAAACAATCGTTAATGTAATAAGAGAAGTAGCCAAAAAGGAACGAGTCATCCTTATTGTCACACCTAAGCAAATATGTCCATCGAATGTTTAAGTGTTTAATTGACCATCTTTGACACCGAATATGTCCACTTTATATAAATAATTCGATGCAGAGAGAGGTTTGATTGTTAATCACCGCTAGAAGCAATCGTTGATGTAATAAGAGAAGTGGCCAAAAGGGAACAAACTAAGCAAATATGTCCATCAAATGTTAAGTGTTCAATTGACCATCCTTGACACCAAATATGTCCACTTTATATACATAATTCGATGTAGAGAGAGGTTTGACTATTATTCACCGCAAGAAATAATTGTTAATGTAATAAGAGAAGTAGCGAAAAGAGACGAGCCCTCCTTACTATCAAACCTAAGGACAAATTGATGAGGGCAAGAATGAATGTACCCATCTATACTCTTCAAAAGAAAGTTAACATCTTTCAAACCCTTATATTAAAAAGAGCAAACATATCTCATCCCAAAGATTTTTTTATATAGAGGAATCAAATATTCTTTTTTCTTTTTCTTGTTATGTAAAATAATTCTCCTTATTTTTCTTTGCTTTTCCTCTTCTTTAATAAATATGATTTTGTCTTATGTGCCATAAATAAAATCAAATTGCAATAATTAATGTATGGTGCTGACTTTTTGATATCCCTTCATTTTCAACTTTGTGCAACTTGAAGAGCAAACCCCACCGTGATGAATGTATTTGGTATTGGGTGTCACTTCCCATCATATAAAATTTTCCAAACAAATGAAAAATAATAAAGTTAAGTACAAAATTATGCATTTTTATTTTTATTTTTCATGAACACAACCAACTCCACAAACAAATATTAAATATAATATTATATGACCCATTTAATTAAGTGTATATATTTTAATGTCCTAGATTGGTGTTTGATATTAAGCTCTATTTGATAAAAGTTAAATTTTTATTAAAATTAAATTCAACAATTAATTTTAATTACAAATTTCACGGAATCCACAACCTTTCAACCATATATTTTTATCGAGTTTTATCAAATTCTAAAAATTGATTTTAATCTCTGCTATGCGTAGATAAATAACACTACTCTTCGGTAAATGTCCCACTTTTTTGTCTGAAAATTTAAATTAATAAAGGGAAGACACATTCTGCATAATTTTGTTTTTACTTTTCTTTGCATCAAAAGATTGCTCAACTCGATTATTTGAAAATTATGATAAGTTTATCATTTAATTTCGTTCTCGATGATACAATCAAATTCAACAAATGTGCTGCTCAAAAGAATTGAAATCATCAAGAAATGAAAGAAGAAATTTAGAATTTGCAGATGAATCACCAAACTCCAGCACACACTGATGATGATGATGATGATGAACTCAAAAGTGACTCCAAATATTCAACACCCAAATCCTCTAAAACCAACAAATTTTCTGCCTTTGATTCTTTAATTTTCTTCTTTTTAATCCCTGAATTTTTCCTCATTGAATGCCTTTTCTTCAATGCAATCACAGGAGAACACCCTTCTTCAAATTTGTATTTCATTTCTTGAAGTGATTCCTTCACTCTCTCCACCGGAAAATTGAGCGCCGCCGCCGCACCCCTCATAGAAAACGCCGCTTGATCATACGCCAAGGCGGCGGCCTCTGCGGAATCGAACGTTCCAATCCAAACCCTGACTCCATTCCTAGTTGAATCCCTAATCTCCGCCGCGTATTTCCCCCAAGGCCGCCGCCTCACACCTCTGTATGATTTTTCCTTCTCCAGTACTTTTTTCACATTCGAGGTGACTTCTTCCTCTTTACAACTTCCAGCAGCGGAAATGGATTCCGACGACTCCCTTACGGTGGCACCGCCATCTGCTAGCACACCAAAAAGTAGCATTTCTTCGGAATCGTTGACGTTAAACGGAAGCAAATTTTGATCGAAAAGAAAATCATCCCACGATTCTAAGTAATATTCCGGCGAGTTTTGTGAAACGGGAATTTGATTTTGGGATTGAAAGAATGAAGGATCCATGTAAAAATCCAAGATTCTTGCTTGTTTGACAATAATTTTGAACAAACAGCCCTTTATATACTCGTGGAAAATAAATATAAGCTAAAAAATATTAACGAATTAATAAGATTATTAATTAAATTATGAGAGTGAAAGGTGAAAATTTGTGGCAAGGAGGGATGTTTTAGATAGTTAGTTAACGGTATTAATTTATTAATGTGGGACCCACGTGAAATTAATTTTGTCACGTGAGTCAATTTATTGTGATGACGCACGGCGGCGGAGTCAATCCAAAATGAATTGATCATTTTTGCTGACGTATGATTTAAATTTTTGCAGAAATTTTATTTTATTTGTTGTCGTAATTAAGGTTAAAGAAATAAAAAAATGTTTATTAGTTTTGTAAATATTGCAGTTTTTATACAATACATTGTTTTAATGTTTTGCTAAAACTTTATCTGAATTTCGATATGAATACCCATTTAACTTGAGCATCAAACTAAAATTGATCAACCCTCTACTTCAAGTGTTCAAGATCACATCGAAATATGTTATTTAACTTTTTCGATTGATCTCAAACTCACCCACCTAAGTGTCATGGTGTCAATACTCTAAATCATAGTTTGAATGTTTCACGAAAACTCTACTTGAAACATTTCAATATTAATATCGATTTAACTGAAGTACCTGAATAAAATTGATGAAAGCCTCTACTTAGGTGGCCGCATTCGCATCCAATTATGTTCTTTACACTTTTTCAGTTATTTTCAAATGCACATCTAAAACAAAATTTACTATGCAGATTTCGACGTCAACAATTTTGAAATCGAGAAATTACGATAGTATTCCCCCTTCTTGTATCGAGTTGATCCATAAGAAATTGCACCATGAGAAAGCTAACCTTACACTTCTTGTAAAAATTGAAACCCAAAACTTTATAAGTTATGAATGAATATTCTCATTTAACATGAGAATATTCTTCAAAATAAGTTATAGAAGGAAAAAATCTACTATTGCAGAATAAAGAATAAGATTCATGTGATCATTATTTTCATAATGGGAGCACTTCATTTTTAAAGGTCCTTTTCGTATAAAAATTTAACACAAAATGATCCAGATTCAGTCCCCCAAATCGAATCGTAAGATTTCTAGTCTCAGTCCAGTCCTATGAATTTTGTGGATAGATTTGAAAGTTCTTACAAAAAGGAGTCAATAGTTTGATGACGAAATTGACAAAGTTGTGGCATTATTAGAACTTTTATTAATATTCACATAAAATAGGCCCACAAATAATTTAAAGGGATAATTGCAGTCGCGGTACCAAATCTTTTTTTTAGTAGCAAATTTTGTCTAAACCTTTCATTTGTGCCACCTATGATACCAAACCTTTCAAAAATTAGCATTTGAAATCTAATCTGACGAAATCCGTAAGTTGACCATAAGTCAATGGTCAACACAAATTTTGACTAATTTTTAAAGGGT